AAAATGGTGTTTTCTCAAGAACAGAAAGTGTTTATCATAGAGTCCCACTTTAGAAGTGGACGCAAGGTTGATGGAATATGGAAGTATTCTATTGAGGAATGTTTCATAGAATTTCAAAATCAATTTCGCGGCGTTGTTGAGTACAAAATTTTTCAAAGTGCAGTTCAGCGTTGTGTTAATGTTTTTCGTGAAACGGGCAGTGTAACAAGAAAAGAAGGAAGCGGCCGACCTAAAAAGCGGACTGAAGAATTAAAAGAAAATGTACAACAAATAATGGAAAATGCGCCAAGAACTTCTGTACCTGTTTTATCACAAATGGTGGGAGTATCAGTCGGTACCTGCCACACAGTGTTAAAAAAAGATTTGCGTTTGTTCTCCTATCGTTTAACTTGTCAGCAAGAACTTCATGAAGTTGATTTTCCGCGACGGGCTGAATTTTGTGAATGGTTTTTAAATAACTACGGTGAACTTCATAATATCACACCTTTTTTTCTGATGAAGCCTGGTTTCATTTAAGTGGTTACGTAAACTCACAGAATATGAGAATGTGGTCTTCTGAAAAAACAGATAACTTTTTTGTCGAGGGCCCTCTACACGCTCAAAAAATTGGAGTTTGGTGTGCTCTCAGTCGAAGGAGGGTTTATGGACCTATTTTTTTTAATGGTACTCTTACTGCGCAAAGGTATAGAGAAGAAATTATCGCTCCTTTTGTTAACCAGCTGGAAGAAAACGAAATTACAAACTTTTACTTACTTTCAACAAGATGGCGCAAGGGCACATACTGCAGGCGAGACGATGAATATGTTGAGGGAAGTTTTCCAAAATCGACTAATAAGTCTCAATGCTGAACATGAATTTCCACCGAGGTCATGTGATATTACGCCGTGTGATTTCTTTTTGTGGCCTTACCTTAAAAACACTATTTTTGAACTGCCTATTCCTGATTTAAACCATCTGCAGGCTCGACTTATAGACAAGATTCGTGAAATTAACAATACCCCGAGCATCTTAGAAAATGTCTTTAATTCTTTGAGGAACAGGTGTGAAAAGTGCTTGGAACAAGGAGGGGGACACTTTCCGCAGCTCCTTTAATTGTTTGTTATTGTTATCACGATTATTCTTTAAAATAAAGTTATATAGTCATTAACGTTATTGAAACTGACAGCTGCTGTACAGCTCGTTGAGAAATGAGGTTAAGTTGGTCGCTATAAGCTACTCCCTACGTCCAATGTGTCAGAGCCAACTTCGACCACGTTTTTATTTGAACGCTCGTTATAATACGGATTGCGTGTGGAAACGAGATTAGACAAAGAGAACAAGCATAACAACGTATCACTTTATTTCAAGCTGACTTGTTTTCCATTTTCGTTTATAGAGATTTTCGTAAATTTTTTTGTTCACACAACTGATTAAATAGACTTAATTAACATTAAAATGACAATTCATGCGTAAAATAACTTAGGCAGACATTGCACAACAACAAATATTGCTAACAACAGATCATTTTGCCAAGTCGCAAAAAATATTTTTCACAAAACTGTATCTTCAAAAAATACGAGAAAAAAAAAACTCGCCTGAAGATATAATATTGTCTAACAAGAACATTGTCTACAAAATAAATTAAAACATATTTTACAAAAAAAAAGAAAACATGTTTATAAAATAACTATGTACAATATTTAGAATACTGATACTAGATTGGAGTTTATATCACCCATGGTTGACTTCTAGCCCAGTTACTTAGCTGAAAATATAGTAATACCTCCGATTTTTTTATAACTGCATCGATTTTTCTCAAAATTTAGAATTAGGCTCATCTTATCCCCCACTTAAAAACTTATATATTCGCTTGATGTGCTTTTTGTTCTTAAGGGGTGAAAACCACCCCTTATTGAAAAAAAAAGAAAAAATACAAATTTAAGCGTTTTATGTAATCAATTTTTTTTATTTGTGCAGTATGAGTAATTTCACGTGCTATCTAACATGAAACTTAATGTATTCCAAATTTGCAACCCCGAAAAAACCTTTAAAAACCACCCTTTTGGATGAAAATTATATAAAATTTTTTTTTCAACTTGAAACGTTTTAATCATGCATTTTTATCAAATTAAAATTGATTTCTTGATTAAAAAATCTTTTTTATCGCTTGCAACTTTTCCACCCTTGAATACCCCTTCTTTCGAAAATAAAATGAAAAAATATTATTGAAAGGGTAGAACATTTTAAATGTGCATTCGTATTAAATAAACATTTATTCCCTTATTATAATTATAGTAGTTATAATATGGTATAGTACCGATTTATTCGAATAAACACATACTAAATACGTATATATCTAAAGATCTAAATGCTTCAAACTTCTTGTTTGACCAAAATTTTCCTAAAATTATCACCTATACACGTGTTTATTTTTTTGACGATAAGTTTCTTACTTTTTGAGATTTTTAATCACACAAAGGCTCATTTTGCAGGGAATTGTAAGGGCTACGTGAACTGTTGAGTTGATCTTTTTTAAGCCCTTCATTTTTAAGTTTGAAGGGTATAAAGGGTTCGAAAAGGGTGGTTCTCTCATTCATATGATAACTTAAAATGGCGATATCTCGATTAATATTAATTTTAGAGGAATAAAAAATAAAGCAAAATCTTCAGCAAAAATAAAACTTTTTTTACTCTTGTATTTTTTTCGTACACCTTTTAATTTTTAAGTTACAGCGCAAAAATCGATTTTTTTTTCAAAAATTTGAATAAACATTTTCAAAAATTATTTTTTTTTCGAAATCGTGCTTTGTAAGTGAGCCAAAGACCCAGAACATATTCTTAGAACGTAAATTAAGAAATCTGTAAATGGATTGCATTTAATTTTAATTCTGTCGCCAAAGGCACTGATTTGTTTATTAATTAAAAAAAAAATGAGACTCATGTTATTTCGATCGTATTTCCGTTAATTTTGATTCTAAAGACTTTTAAAACACCTCATTTTAAAGGTTTTTCAAAGTACTTTAAAAAAGGTTCAAATAGTTTTTTCCTAATATTTATGATTTTCGCGTTATTTAACGTTAACTGGTTCCAATTTAGTTTTTAGCTAACATATGTATAATAATGTTTAAAAATCCATAACTCGGTTTATATTGCAATTAGAGAACAACAACATAATGCCATTAGATTTGTTTTTTTATTACCTTTCTCTTTGTTCATTACAACTTTTTCGTTAAATCCAATGGTTTCAGAGTTATTTTCAAAAAACTGTCGGAAAACAAGCACTTCTTCAGTAAAAAATCAATATTTTCAATTGCGAATTACTCGGAAAGTATTGGATTATCCAAAAAACTTTATATAGCATTTGTTACTTAAAATTGACTACTCTATCGTTTCCTGTGGTTATTTTAGACGTAAAAATTTCCACCCCCAAGAAGGGGTGGGAACAACCCCCAGGGCAAAAGCACACTTCGGCACTATATAAGTTTTGTTCCTTGAGGCATTCCCCACATTCAGTCAAAATTTCACGTCAATCGGTTCAGTTATAAAGAATAGGCCCATTCAGTAAAATTTTTTTATTGCATATTTCAAAAGTTTACCCTTTAATTAGTTAGTATGCCAAAAATCTATTTTTTGTTTCAACGAGAAATGTGTGAAATAAATTAATGAAAACAGAGCGCGGAAAAACGTTGAGCAACCATTGCCTGACGTCATAATACCGGTACGGGCGACAGGCAGAGCACTCCGCTCGCGCTCGCTCTCATCCCATTCTGTGTTAATACATACGGTGTGTGGTTCGCTTGGCAGTTTCGTAAATCATGGTTTTTATGTCTAAATGGGTCGAAACCGAGGATTGTACAAATTTGTATAGTTCCAGGCTGCAAAAGTACCTCAGGACCGACTCCGAATAAAATATTTATTTTATTACCGAAAAATGAAAAATTTGTGTGTTATCCACGGTTTCCCCAGCCACGGTATGCAACTCAAAACCACCTTCGTTTTTCTTTGGTTGGACGTCTAGGGGGTTGTAAAATATTATTATTTGAACATTTAGAGCACAATTCTCAACTTTATGCCGGAAATAAATTCTGCCCCATCTAAATGTTCGTGTTCACAAAAAATTCGAAATACGACGGCGACAGGGACCTATAAGCAGTTAAGAACCACTCTAGTTTTTCTTTGGTTTTCCATCTAGAGGGTTTTAAATATTATTATTTGAACATTTAGAGCAGAATTATAAAATTTATGCTGGAAAAAATTTCTGCCCCATCTAAACGTACCCGTTCACAAAAATTTCGAAATACGTCGGCGAGAGGGACCTATAAGCAACTCAGAACCACCCTCGTTTTTCTTTGGTTGCCCGTCTAAGAGGTTATAAATATTATTATTTAAACATTTAGAGCAGAATTTTCAAATTTATGTCGAAAAAATAAATTCTACCCCATCTAAACGTTCCCGTCCACAAAAATTTCGAAATACGTTGCGAGAGGCACCTATAAGTAATTTATTTAAATAATAATATAGACGGGCAATCAAAGAAAAACGAGGGTGGTTCTGAGTTGCTCGCACATACACGTCGTCGCATACATCCACAAGTACCGAGTCTAGTACGTTGGGTACATTTGTACACAAAATGGAAGGCAAAATTACGTCATTGAGAAAAATCCGAAAATGTATTTAGATATTCCAAGACATTCTATGTTTATAATAAATATGTTGTGTGAAAAATGCATTTCAACAAGACTTGATGTATATCTCTTATACACTCTCTATTTATACACTTAAAAATATAGGTGTATAATATAGGTAAAAGTATAGCAAATATCTATACATCTCTCCGTCTGCTTGCGACTTGATCGCCGAGTGACCGGTATCCTGACGTCATTAGCTGTTCTCTCGCAGTGTTGACCTTTTTAAGGGTCTTACAAATTCAGAATTAAATATATCACTTATTATTAATCCTATTGACCTAATTTTTTTAAGATATATTTAGGTGGTTAAATACTATCAGAAAATGAAAGAAAAAGTTTAAAATTATATATCACTGAATGGGCCTATTCGGAGGTAAAAACTCTGAGTAACTGGACTATTCGGCAAAGATTCGATAGTCGGATTAAGTACATCCGATTCCTTAAAAATTGAACCATATCGCTCTCGATCCTTCCGTGTCGAAGCAGGAACAAGCTTAACTAGGTCGCCTAGACGGTGACCGTAGCCTCGTCCAGGTGTTTCTTGATATCCTCTAACTTTTCCATGTCGCTGGTCGACTTGTCGCACTTGTAGACGACCAGGGAGTGGTAGAAGTGGGCGGCGAACAGGACGAACGTTATGAGCACCGGGATGACTATCACGGTGGCGGCCACCGCCGCCGTGAACGAGTAGTCCCAGAATTTTACCCAGCACAGGATGGCTACCTCTATCAGGAACAGGAATAGGCCTGGAACATATGAAAAAAGTAGTTTCCTTGGATCTTGAATAGACCTATCGCCTCACCTAAAATCGTGGAAAAAGCCCAAGCGATCTCTATGAATCCCTTCATCCTCTCGTGCGGGCTCTCCTTCACCATCTCGCAGATCTCCAGCTTCGCTATGGCCTCTATGTTCGGCAGGATGTACGTGGATATCATCAGCGCGAATATGTGCACGGCGACGAGCACCGTCGTGCATACGGCGAACATGACGAACAGCCATTCCGGGACGTTCGTCGGCGTGTTTATTTGAAGTTCTACCTGGAAAAAATGCGGAACTACTGAGAAAATTACAGTGACTTGAGGGCAGCGAATCTAGAGCCAATTCTAAAGTCCTGTTCAAAATCAAATTTATTGGCTTCATTCAACACCCAACGACGATCATCTGATTTGAACTCTCAGATCTCAAAAACTTTAATTAGCTAACTTTTCTATTTAAACAAATAAGTGAGGAAAACAGTTTTTTCACTTTGCGGGGGAAAAACCATCAATTTTAGCAAAAAGTGACTCTGAGACAGCTTGTAGGGAGTAAAATTATCTACAAAATGAGACTGGTTAAATTAAAATCGGTTAATAAACAAAAAAGTTATTGCAAAAAAAACAAGAAAAGTACCCATTTTTTAATTTGTTTATAACTATCGCATTTATTGTTAAAATTTTATAAAACCTATGACAAGTTGAGGGTTTTGTCATACTTTAAAAGTGTGCCAAAAGTGGGCGCTGTAGGTGCAATAGTTTTCGCACAATTCTATTTGTTTATAGCGGAGGCTCCAAAAGTTATGAACTTTAAGCCTCTGTACAGGCGTTAATTTTCAATCAAACATGATTCTGAAAGCGTCATTGTAATCTTAAAGACGCAATTAAGCGACCTATTAAAAAATATCACCGTTTTTTTGACATTAACATTCTCAAATTGTGCATTAAAAAACCGTGCGTTTTTCGCTTATAAACAATTTGAATAACATTGTTGCTATTTATGCTATCTCACCGAAAATAGATGCAATGGATAGCTGGCAAAAAAATACAGTTTTAAAATAAAAAAAGTACCCTCTACGACCAACAGGAGCCAAGATAAGAATTTTTTTTTAAAAAATCGTAGCGCAATTGTTTATAAATATTAAGACTTGAATTTTTCGCAAAATAAAGTTTACGACGTAAACTACGATTTCCCGTGAATTGCATTGAAAAATGTGGAAAATTAACGACTCACGAGCCCTTTAAAGAGAAGGTACTCGCTAAGTAAACTGTCCGGCGGCCGGCGGCGTGGTGGTGGGGGAAGCTCGTCCAAGCGGTAGCGCTGGCGAGAAAAGTTAAATCCAAAGTTTAAATAGGTGCGCGCTCTAAATTTTGCTATATCTCGGCTTCTATTCATCGTAGAAACTTATTTTTTTTTTAAACTGGGGTAGCTCGACGAAAAAATAACAATGGGCATATTTACGAATTCGTAGAATAGCCCTGAACCCCAGAAAAAATGCATCTTTTATAATTAATTTTTTTTATTTACAAAAATGTCACAAAAAATATTGTTAAACGAAATATTAATTAAAATTTCAATTTCGGAATCATTTTACTATTATTAAATAAATAAATGAAACTATCGTTCATTTAAAAAGTTATTTTTTTACAAATTAAGGCAAAGTAAACTTGTATTTTCAATATTTTGTTGGCTATGTAATTACGATTTAAATGTAAAATTAAAGTAAAAAGTCACAAAATTATTTTCAAATTATTATTTATTGTTAAAATATTTAAAAAAGAATTTATTACAAAATTCTCAAAATTAAAAAATATTAATAAAAAATAATGCGGTCGATAAAATTACAATTTTAACGTCTTCAAATTTTAATATATAAAGTTTTTTTATTATATTTATTACGAGTACTGATTTTATACAAACAAATTTTTGCAACAATCAAAATTAATTAAAAAAATATTAATCACAACCATTTTCAATAATAGATATAATACAGTATAATACAACAATTTAAAATTTAAATTTTTTTCTATTTTTATGAGAAATAATAATTTGAAAATAATTTATGAATTTTCACTCTAATTATACATTTAAATCGTAATTAAATAGCTAACAAAATATTGAAAAAACAAGTTTACTTTGCCTTAATATAAAAAAACATAATTATTTAAATGAACGTTAGCTTCATTTATTTATTTAATAAGAGTAAAATAATTCCGAAATTGAAATTTTAATTAATACTTCGTTGAACAATAACTTTTGTGACATTTTTGTAAATTAAAAAAAATTAAGTATAAAAGATGCATTTTTTCTGGGGTTCAGGTCTATTCTACGAATTCGTAAATATGCCCATTGTTATTTTTTCGTCGAGCTACCCCAGTATAAATAAAAATAATAAGTTTCTACGATGAATTTTCTACGAGAAGCCGAAATATTGCAAAATTTACAGTGCGCATCAATTAACTTTTCTCGCGCGCGCCACCGCTTGGACGAGCTTGCCCTACCACCACGCCGCCGGCCGCCGGACAGTTTACTTAGCGAGTACCTTCTCTCTAAAGGGCTCGTGAGTCGTTAATTTTCCACATTTTTCAATGCAATCCACGGGAAATCGTAGTTTACGTCATAAACTTCATTTTGCGAAAAATTCGAGTCTTAATATTTAGTAACAGTTGCGCTACGTTTTTTTTTTTAATTCTTGGCTCCTGTTGGTCGTAGAGGGTACTTTTTAATTTTAAAACTGTATTTTTTTGCCAGCTATCCATTGTATCTATTTTCGGTGTGTTAGCATAAATAGCAACAGTGTTATTCAAATTGTTTATAAGCGAAACACGCACGGTTTTTTAATGCACAATTTGAGAATGTTAATGTCAAAAAACCGGTGATATTTTTTAATAAGTTGTTTAATTACGTCTTTAAGATTACAATGACGCTTTCAGAATCATGTTTGGTTGAAAATTAACGCCTGTATTAGAGGCTTAAAGTTCATAACTTTTGGAGCCTCCGTTATAAACAAATAGAATTGTGCGAAAACTATTGCACCTACAGCGCCCACTTTTGGCACACTTTTAAAGTACGACAAAACCCTCAACTTGTCATAAGTTTTATAAAATTTTAACAATAAATGCGATAGTTATAAACAAATTAAAAAATGGGCACTTTTCTTGTTTTTTTGCAACAACTTTTTTGTTTATTAAACGATTTTAGTTTAACCAGTCTCATTTTGTAGATAATTTTACTCCCTACAAGCTGTCTGAGAGTCACTTGCTAAAATTGATGGTTTTCCCTGCAAAGTCAAAAAAAACTGTTTTCCTCACTTACACAATTTTACAATAATCTCGCGGATAGGACTTTTTTCGAATAAAAATTTAATTTGCTTGGTCTATATCAAGGGTCGGCAACTGGCGGACCGCGGTCCAGGTCCGGACCGAGCAAGGTAAAATACTGGACCGCCAAACATTTTTTGAAAGTATAAATTACTCAAATAAATAATTTAAAAAATATTTTTTACGTTTAAGTGCCAATCTTANTATTTAAATTATTCTTCTGTTCTCATGAGCATTGAAATTTATTTCACTCACTAGCGGGAACCATTGCGAATACATTGATATATAATAATATTCAATTATGTTAGTTTCTTCGACGATTTGTGTCCTCATCTGAAGCTCTGTTACATGGTAAAAATATACATACTAAATCGCCCCCTTAACGTTGTGCCTCTTGTGATATAAACTAATTATAATGAATATATTAGCAGACGGCTGGATACCAGTAATAATATTATTGGCATATTTTGAAGAATTATCAAAAACAATAAAAAATATATTGTTGCATATTTAAAAAAGACCTATTTATGTCAGTTTAGAGAAAGTATAGTGCTGTAAAGTGTTTTCCATGGTAATGATTTATACATTCGTGAAAAAACTGTTTTCCTCACTTATTTGTTTAAATAGAAAAGTTAGCTAATAAAAGTTTTTGACTCACGAGACGAGAGATGTCTTGTATTATGTTCCTTTAGACAATTTTACAACAATATCGCGGATAGGACTTTTTTCGAGTTTCTCTTTTATTTTCGCTAATTTTCCTGGTGTAAAAAGGCAGCAACGCCAAGATATACAAGGGATGTATGTGTGTGTGTATGGGTATGGGAACCGGATCCAATAAGTCGCCGGCAAAAAAGTTGATTAACGTCATAATCTTCTATAAATAACGCGGTAATGATTAAAACGATGACACGCTTTGTTTCACACGTTATGGATATCGAACACAAAAAAAATTGCTGTAAAGTGTACCGTTAATTCAGGATCTGATAAGCGGAATAGGTTCGCGTGTTTGGAGCGCATGAAAATTAAAAAACATTGATAAATAAATACTCTTTTTTTGACATTTATTTTTCAACACCGAACGCTCGAATTTTTTTAATTCCATTCATATTTACCATCGCTATCATGGCGAAGCCCGAAAGGAGTTCGGAAGTGGTGGCCGTAGCTTTTAGTTTCGCCCGGGACATGTGCAGTCGCCTCCAGGACAGCCCTTCGGGGGTGTTGGACAGTTGCCTGTTGATCCTTCCTGACTCCACGTCGTAGCACCTGCAGCAGCACTTGGAGCCGCTGACGGAGCCGCTGCTCTCGTCGTCTTGCATTTTCTGTAACGAAAAAATACAATTTGAGGAACGGGAACTAATGCCCAGGGTATCATAATAAAGTTACTGTTGGGTCCAACGAGAAAGTCGTGGTAAAATTTTGTCGAAAAATGTTTCAAATATCTATAAACTCATTAGAAGCTGATATTATAGGGAAAAGTTGGTTTCAATAATAAAAATTAAGGAAAAAGATGATGAAATTAGACCAAAATGGTTAGCTGTCCGTGAAAAGTGTAGTAGATAATAGAAATTCACTTTTTCAAAAGCTATCGTGAACTGTTGACACTTTAAATCTGTTAGTCCAGTCATTATAGACATGAAACAGCCTGTTTCGGGAAAAAAGTAATATTAGAAGTTTGTCTGCGGAATATTGTTTATAAACAAAATATCAAAAAATCAACTCGAGGCTAGTTGGGAAACTTTGTTTAAATAATGGTCAAAGTTATAGAAAAGTGGTTTTTTGATTCGCGTAAAAAAACTGTTATTAATTGCGCAAAAAAAGTTTATACAAAAAAGGTAGGTATTAAATAAGCCTATAAAATGAGACAAGTCCGATTAAATTCCGATAATTTGTTTATGCACAAGAGCTCAAAAATGGTCGAAAATGGCCGTTTTTTTTTCAATTGCTAATAATTAATGTAATTTTCATCGCAGACACTTGTAATTCAGGATTTTTGAGGCTTTTTGCGCCCTTAACAAATTGTAAAAATTTCAACTCGAAAGATTCATTGGTTTGGCGTTGGCGGAATTTGTTATCTAACAAGATGCTATTTTCAATTAATTTTTCCCAAGCTCAAAGGCGTTGTATAATTTCGATCATTAGTTGTTTTTAATAATAATAATAATAATAATAATAATAATAATAATAATAATAATTTAATTAGTTTAAAAATTACTGAAAAAATGTTAATATTTATTAAATTGTTAAGATAGGTAATTATTATAAAATGAAACAGTAACCTCTATAGTTTAGATAGTACTATTTTTCTTCGAATTTAAAAAAAAAATCGTCGTTCTAAGTTGATTAGAAGGTGAGATAATATTTTTTTTATTTAATCGCAGTAACCTTAATTATTAATATTAAGAGCCGAAATTTGGCGAGAGTATACATTAAGAGCTATATTTTCATGTTCTACATCTACATTAACATTAAGGTGAATTCAACTATTTAATTGCAAAAAAGAAAATAGCGGCTTTGCGTTCTATTACTCGGTCTAGCGAACGCGTGGGGAGAGTGAGGCGGAGCATGCGCGCAGGAAAATGATCGAGCGGCTTCAAATCGATGGAGCTGGAAAAATTAACCATATCTCGGTTAATAATAAACCTATCGAGATGATTCTTTTTTTAATTTGTGTTAGCGCGAAAATTCATGAGCATTGTATTAACATTATTTCAATCCGAGATTTAATTTTTTATTTAGCCTCGCTCTTCCCACTCGTTCGCTAATCGAGTAATAGAACGCATCGCCGCTATCTTCTTTTTTGCAATTAAATAGTTGAATTTACCTTAATGTTAATGTAAGACATCAAAATATAGCTCTTAATGTATACTCTCTCCAAATTCCGGCCCTTAATAGTTAAGGACACTGCGATTAAATAAAAAAAAATTGTCTCGGCTTCTAATCAACTTAGAACGGTTTTTTTTAATTCGAAGAAAAATAGGACTAACTAAACTATAGACGTTACTATTTCATTTTATAATAATTACCTATCTTAATAGTTACAGTCATTTTAAACAAATTAAATTTGAAAAATTAAATTTTCAGTATATGGATATGTCAATACATCTATTTAGGTACAAAAACAACTAATGATCGAAACTTTACAACGCCTTTGAGCTTGGGAAAAATCAATTGAAAATAGCATCTTCTTAGATGACAAATTCCGCCAACGCCAAATTAATGAAGCTTTTAGGCTGAAATTTTTATCACTTATTAAGGCTGCAAAAAGCCTCAAAAATCCTGAATTACAAGTGTCTACGATGAAAATTGCATTAATTATTAGCAATTGAAAAAAAAGGCTATTTTCGACTATTTTTGAGCTCTTGCGCATAAACAAATTATCGGAATTTAATCGGAAATCTTAATTCACAGATTTATTTAATACCTACCTTTTTTGTATAAACCTTTTTTCTCTATGAATAACAGTTTTTTACGCGAGTCAAAAAAACACTTTTCCATAACTTTGATCATTGTTTTAACAAAGTTTCCCAACTAGTCTCGAGTAGATTTTTTGATATTTTGTTTATAACACGTTTCTGAACAATATTCCGCAAAAAAACTGCTAATAGTTTTTTTCCCGAAAAAAGCCAAAATGACTGGCCTATGTTTCCTAAGCGTCAAAATGGCACTAATATAAAGGATTCTTGTTCTAGAACAGAAAAATCTTTCTCATAGCCTAATTGCTTCAATAATTAATTATTGAAAATTCATTTACAATTTTACAACTCGCATCATTAAACATTTTTAATATAATTGTTCCTTCGCTACACAGCGCACAATTTTTTTTATATAAAAATCTTAAAAATGAAGTTTGCAAGTCTCTGTTTCCACGAATTTCCGAAAATATTAATTCATCTTCGACACAAGTATCCCGGAAGCGAAGAGTTTTCCTACAAAACTGCCTCCCCATAATGTTCATTATAGAATTTTTCACAGACCGTCGCATTAGTAACGATTAGTAATCGAACACCCTGTATACTCGTCAATCCGACATTGTTTAACGAAGAGTCATCGTCGAGCGCTGCGATTTCAATAGCCGGAATTTGGGAAGTTTCTGAGTAATTAAAAAAAATTCGACGTACCCAAACAATACATAACAGGTTAATCAAAATAACGTCATTGAAATACGCGGATTAAAAAGTTCAATGCCTTAAGTATGGGATTTTTTATTATTTTAATCGTTCGCGAAACAAATATATACTGTACCGGGTGGATACTGCTTTACAAATTAACAAAAAAAAGTTCTTGTAGCCACTTGTCAGGCGAGAATCCATTTTTGAAAAACTTATTATTCTGTTGTAAGAATTAGATTTAAAATAACTAGGAAGAAAGAAAAATGTTTAGTCTTGTACATACGTAATGTATCAAAATCAATTTTTTCAAGTTTTAGAATTATTAATATTTTTTTTTTGTTAACTTCTGACGTTCATTAAGCGTTTTAGTCACACCCTGTATACAAGCCCGAGACGTTCTAGATTAATTCTCCGACCGGAGCTCGGTCTCGTTTAAAACTATTCATGGATTTATTTCGTCGCAAATCTTGTTGGTATCGTTAGAAAAATCGTACCGGTCTTCGCCAGAGAGAGAAATCTTTATTTTCGAGGTCAAAAAACCGTCCGGCAACGGCTAAAAAGCGACGTCCTAATCGCCGTAAATTACACAGCTGGTGTATAATTTGTCCGGTCTCGTATGTGGATACATTTTTTCCGGTAGAAACCTGATTGGTGGACGGAAAGGTCGCGATTAATTGCCACCAAACAGGAAAAATAAACGGAGGAACATGCTTTTTGCAAAATTTTGCTTGTAAAATGGTCGAGACTGGATAAATCACCGAAAATTTGTTATTAATAATGCAAACCCTGGAGCAACGAATATATCTTGTGAAATTTTATGGAATCTGTAATGTTTGATATCGATTTGCAATACAAATTTTTAAAGAAAAGTATCAGAAGGGGGATTTTTTAAAAACCACTCACCTTATGTAACGCGTAGGGGGGAGGTTTGTAGGACGAAATGCCTCCGTTCGACGTCACGCTCGAGCTGCAGGAGAAGGGGGGCGTTCTCTCCCTGGATATGGACCCGACCGGCGTGTCCAACCCCGGGTGAGACAGCCTAGACAGAGGGCTCTCCGAGGCGTACATCAGTTTCGTCCTGTTGAAGGCTTCCGTTGAAAAATTTAGTGATTTCGGTCTAAGGGCGATGGGCTTCAACTGGGACTGCAAAATCAAAATTAATTTTTTAATAACTATGATTTTTACGAATTAGACCCCAGTCCGGGCACGTCTCTGGGCATAAGTATTCGAAGTAATCAATTTTAGTGTCATAAAAATCCCATAGTTTTCCGACTTATCAAGACTATGTTATCGGTAGTTTACTAATACAAGTTCGGTTACATAGTTTAACTGTTATCTGTTTTGTTTATTAACGATATTCCGTTCCATAGATAAGTGAGTGACTCATGAAAGAGTTTGTCGTGAAAAAGAAAGCTTCGACAATTTTAAAAGTGTCGAATTTTGTTTTTGTAATTATTGTAAGTCGTAAATCTGCCTTACCCACGAATTAGTTAGCGGTATCATTTTGTTTTGGTTCAGGAAAAGGTCTGCCGACGTGTTGTGCCTCCTCATCTTCCGGTGCTGGTTCTTGGAGACTATGGGGAAGTTGACTTGCGTCGATTGGTCCATTTCGGGCACTGAAAATTAAATATACCGTCAATAAATTATCCCATCTGCAGTCATAATTATTGGAATCAACAAAAAGCAGTTGCAATTTCATATATAAAAAAAATAGTGGCCCGCAAACCTCATTTTCGTGGCCCCTTTATAAAAAATAAATACATATTAAATCTGTCTTCGTTTCCTAAAAATCAAATAACACTTTATTTGATGGAAATGAAATTATGTAAAGACAGACCTAGGTAAGGTGTACCTAAATCTGGCAAATTAATCGAAGAAGCTTGCTTACGTTGAAATTCTGTATTAACCATAATTTTCAGTAATCTTTTTAAATATCAAATTGTAACCTTTCGGCTTTACTATATAACAATACCTAGTTTCCAAATAATGTATCAATGGTGCCGCGCTGTATATTTTTTCCCGCTTTATCTGTCTACTGTAACGAACGTATATTCAACAGTTTGGCAACGTTTATATCTACAACTTCAACGCTATTTAAAATTTTTGTCCTTTGAAATTATATCGATTTTTCTGCATCTTGTGCGGCTCATCTATATCTATACTTCTATACTAATATTATAAAGAGGAAAGATTTGTATTTTTGTATGTATGTTTTTGTTTGTTACGAATAAACTCAAAAACTACTGGACGGATTTCGATAATTCTTTCACCATTTAGAATGCTACATTATCCCTAAGTAACATAGGCTATATTTTTTATATCCCAAAATGTTTAAAATAAATGCCCACCCGTGCGAAGCCGGGACTGGCCGCTAGTACGTAATAAATTGAATTTGAAATAAATATTACCTGAAAAGTCATGCTGTTATCAGAATTCGAACTCTCGACCTTTAGTATGTATAATTTTCCCAAACAGCACCGATTTACATCAAAATTTGGATTTAGGTTCTACTTACCCTCGACATCAATGTTGACCATGTGCCGGGTTTTATTTTTTAGGGGTGAAAACTACCCCTATTCGAAAATAATTATAATAGAATTGTAGATTCGAGCGTGTAATAGGTTGAAATCATCTTTAAATAAGTAATTATGATGAATTGAAAATTGTCAATCCCTAAAAGCCACCCTACAGTAATTATTAAAAATAATGTTGAAAAATATTCAGCAACTTGGAATAATTTAATCATATAGTGATATTAAATTAAGATTTTTTTATTGTTTAATTTTTTATTATTTATTTATAAGTTACCCTTATAAAAACCACCCCTTGCAAAAAAAATCGAACAATTATAGTTAAAAAAAATTTGTTTAGTGCAAAATATATTTTTATTATATAAAATGTAATGTATTTATTTTATCAAACCTTAAAAAAAACTTTAGGTACTGATTAAAATTTGCAATAAAAAATAGGGAAAATAAGAATTTTATTTATATATGGATTTTAATTTTTTTATTTTTATAACAAACATTTTTTTTATTGCAAATAACAAATAATCAAAAATCTTCGCTCTCGTCTTCCTTTTCTATTCTATTCCTAAAATTCCTATTTCTATTCAAAAAATATAGCTATAATGTATATTCATCCATGCTTCAATTCTTTTAGCAGATGCTGGTGATTATTTTTGATCATATCATGAAAAAGACTTGATATTTGGCGATCTTCCGCTATAGCGCAAGGTTGGGTAGTTTGTTTTTTTAAAAAAATATAAATTACAATTCTGTAAAAATTAGTTCTACCATAACAGAACCTCAATGTTTTCAACATTTAATTTTTAATAATACGAATTGTTCAATTGCAATAAATAATTAAAAAAAATTAAAAAATCGGCTGATTTATAGACCCCGCAGACTATCTATTATGTATTTATAAAACAAAAAATATAAACCTGGTTGGTAAAAAATATAATTTGAAATTATTACAAATATATTTTCTTTATAATTAAAATCATTCAGCAAAGAGAATAGACCTAAGATACAACGTGAAACAGGATTTAACAAGTATTTTTTTATACTTAGGTACCTATGATATGAAATGTAAAAAGTTGTGCCTGTGTTAAAGACTATTTTCTACAAAATAAAGACAAAATAAGATGTTAAATCTAATTATCAAACAAAAATGAGCCTTTTAAATATTCTAATGGGCCATCACCCTAAGACAGCCTATATTATGATGATACGGCAAATTTGTCGTGACCGGTTTATAATGTCGGTTACTTAGTTAAAAAAAAATGTAAAAATATTGCCAGCGAATAAATATCAATGATGTTCGTGTTATATGAATTATTTATCAGAATAAAATTATCGGTCGTGTTCCACAATCTTTAAAACTAATATTACTGGCAGAAACTACTTTTTTTTCTAGCGCTTTTTAAGAGTGGGTTTTTATAGTTCACTGATATCAAAAGTTGAAACTTACTATTTGCGGAATCTGTTCACTTTTACTGAAAATATTCGATTCACTCGTATCTTCGCGTCCTTCTCGAGGTCTTGCAAACTCGGAACTAAAACTGAAATATATTTTCCCATCAGTCCCATGTCCCATCGTACTTGTGTTACATAAATATGTATAAGTATATTCACGAACTAATAACTCGAAAAAATAGCCGTTTGGTTAGGTCGGGCACGATTTGGTTTGGTTTTGGAAACGCGCGTATTTTACGCCGATGCGGTTGGGCCCGTGTTCAGGACCGGTTGCGGATGTTTTTAGGGGTTTCCTCAATACACATACACACACATACCTGACTTTGGTGAATCCGTTAAAAGATGTAATCATTCAATGAAATACAGGGTGTCTCATAATTAGCTGCTGAACAGGCCGATTCTACGATCAAAACTAAGTAAAAAAAGTTCATATGAACATGGGTCCGGAAATGCTTCCTAAGGGCACAGGGACCCATTGGAGAGGGAGGAATGGAAATAATTTTTTTGCAATATCTCTCAATCGCGTTGTGATAAATGAATGAAATTCGGTATACACAGCTAAATTTTGATGAGCAATTTGATGGACTAATCCATTTATTTCCACAAGGTCCATTGGGGTGGGTACGGGGGGGCCCTTGGTACTTTGCGTGTGTAACTTTTTCATCTTTGACTTTTTAACAAATTGGACAGCAAATTCCGTTTTCCCGAACTGTTTTACGTTAAAAAGGTACTCTTGTTTCAAATCGTTATCTTTAACGGTTTCTGAGAAAATCGCTCTTGAATTAATCCCACTTTGGTCAATTTCATAGTAATTTAAACAAAAAAAATTTTTTTGTTTAAATTTAATCTAATTTTAATAAAAAAATAATAATAAAAAATTAAATTAAATAAAAATTAATCCTTTAAATGGAAAAGAGAGGAAAGGAAAATTATTATTATTATTTTTTGTTTAAATTACTATGAAATTGACCAAAGTGGGATTAATTCAAGAGCGATTTTCTCAGAAACCGTTAAAGATAACGATTTGAAACAAGAGTACCTTTTTAACGTAAAACAGTTCGGGAAAACGGAATTTGCTGTCCAATTTGTTAAAAAGTCAAAGATGAAAAAGTTACACACGCAAAGTACCAAGGGCCCCCCCGTACCCACCCCAATGGACCTTGTGGAAATAAATGGATTAGTCCATCAAATTGCTCATCAAAATTTAGCTGTGTATACCAAATTTCATTCATTTATCACAACGCGATTGAGAGATATTGCAAAAAAATGATTTCCATTCCTCCCTCTTCAATGGGTCCCTGTGCCCTTAGAAAGCATTTCCGGACCCATGTTCATATGAACTTTTTTACTTAGTTTTGATCATAGAATCGGCCTGTTCAGGGCTGGCAGCTAATTATGAGACACTCTGTATATTATATTTTTGTTATTCTATCGCCACCCAAACGAAGTTTGTAACCTTATTTTTGTTACACTATACAGAAACTTTTAGTAAAAGCTAATAATGTAACACCTGCATACAATTTCATATTTTAAGAACTTACGTACAAATCACGAATGTGTTTGATTGTCGTATCAAATTAACAAAGGCATTATAGTTTTCTTTGAAAGAATGTGAAGTCCGACCCTGTGTTTTCGGGTAACCCGCATTTTCGACCATCTACGTCGCTGGTTATTGAGCACGTGAACGTGTACAGGTGGATGTCGTCTTGTATTTACTTATGTTACATAATTAATACTCTAAAGAATGTGTCGTTTTCTATTTATCATCCTTGTCACTAAACTAATGTTTACGTTTCTGCTATCAAGAGGCCATAATAACCGAATACATTATTGTGTTGTATTTGGACGAAAATATGGCATACTTGGACTTTCGAAATGTTCTCCTTTTCCTAACACAAGTAAAGTTTGCGATTATTTGTGTATCTTGAACTTATTGCTTCAGTACATAACGTTTACTAATTTGTGGTTGAGCAATCTAATAACTTTTTTTCGTGACTATCAGCGTGTGGGAGTCCGCGGTTTTCCTTCAAAAGATTATGCAGTTCTATGTATTTAATATATTGACACGTGCTGGATAAACTTAAGCCTAAGGAGAACAAAATGGCGATAATATATGGGGCATTCTATGCCAAGTCTCTGACGTCGTGACCGGACCATTTTAATTTTGGTGGGTTTTTGGGATTATTTAATACCTGTTTAGAGTAGCTTTCATGAATTTTTTCAAATTTTTATTTCAACTCTTCAAGAAGTTATGACCATTCGAATATTTTGGGTAAATAATTTTCAAAAACCTGTAGGTAACTTGGTGAAAATTAAAAATATCATAAACATTTTTCATTTGAGATGTAGTTTTAAAAAAAATACATTTTTAGTTTTTTGAGGTGTTTTTTTGATTTTTTAACAAAGTGCTTTTTGAAGAAAAAGAGCTTTCTATAGTTAGAATTAACAGCCACAGAAATAATATAGAAAATAAAATCCATCAAGTTTTCTAGAAATTTTTCTATTTCGTCGTTAACCTATCTACAGGGTGAGTCAGTTTTTTGTAGACAAACTTTAACAGGATATAGAACACATGTTTTTAAAACGAAAAGTTCCTATAAACATATGTCGTAGAAGGCTTCGTTTCCGAGATACAG